AGATAACTGTTGTAACTTATCTTTCATTTCTGATTCTAATTAAGAGATTTTTGTCTTTTTTCTTAATGAACGCAGTTAATGTTTGTGTATACTATCATTGCAGTTTTTGGATTCGTTTGCCTTTTAGACCTTTTTTTTTCTATTTTGTTTATCTTTGCTCTAATTTTTATTATTTCCTCTCTTCTAATGGGTTCTGGTGTTGTTTGTTCTTCTTTTTCTAGCTCCTTAAAGGGTAAGGCTTGATTGATTATTTGAGATTTTTAGTTTTTCTTGATGTTGGCCGGTCTGCTATATACTCCCCTCTTAATACTGCTTTTGTGGTTCTGGTAGTTAATGTCTTCATTTTCTAATAACTAACGTATTCACTTTCGTTTTTCTCTTGCTACTTTTAAATGTTTTTTTCTGAATTTTACATTAACCAAATAGTCATTAAGTAATGTTGTTCAGCCTCCCCCCACTTTTTTGTGATCATTTTTAATTTGATACAATTCTGATCAGAGGTTACTTAATATGATTTTAATCTCCATGTATTTTCTGACATTTGTTTTGTAACCCAGCATGTGACCTATCCTCAATAATATTCCATGTTACTTGAGAAAATATTTACTCAAATATGGGGGGCCTGCAGTGTCCTATAAATGTCTATTAAGTCTATGTGGTATAGTTTCTCATTTAAAGCTATTGTTTCCTTGTTTTTCTTGTCTTTAGTTGATTCATTTGTTGATAAACATGTGGAATCAAAATCCTCTACTACTATTGTGTTGTTCCCAATGTTAATCATTGCCTTATATAATTTGATGCTCCTTCATTAGATGCATTAATAATAAATGAATGTTATGTCTTCCTGATACATTGATCACTTAGTCACTGCTGATTAAGTGTAACATATCAAGAGACAGGTAACAGCCTCTTACCTGTGCTATTTGCAAGTCTATATTATCTGATATAAGTATGATTGCCTGTGCCTTTTTGTTGGGTACCATTTTCTTCCACCCATTTGTTTTGAGCCTTTGTTTAGCTTAGAGTGTAGATGAGTTTCCTGTGTTTTGTTTTTTCCTCTCTTTATTTGGTATAGAAGAACAGAGGTGTAGTGAAGAGGGGTGAGGATGAGAGGAATCACCAGAGTCAGAGCTGGAGCAGAAGAACAGGCAGATTTACTGAAATACAGTGCCAAAGAGAGCAGCAGACCAGACAGGAGAGGTCTGTTCCACATGTGGGTTAGTTCCCCAGCTAGTAATTGAACTTAGGCCACAGTGGTGATAGCACTGAGACTTACTCCTAGGCCACCAGGGAGACCCTCCTGTGTTTTGTTTTCTGATCCAATCAGCCACTTGGTGCCTTTTAATTGGTGAGTTATGTCGATGTATATTTAGGGTGAATATTGATATATGAGCATCCAATCCTGTCATTTTATTTTTCATTTTCTGGTTGTATCTATTTTCCTGTTCAATTTTTTGTTGTTGATTTTCTTCTCTTCAATTTAGAACAGTCTCCTTTCAATATTTCTTGTATGGGGGTTCTAGTGTTTGCAAAATTCTTTAGCTTCTGTTTGCCTTGGAAGGCCTTTATTTCTTCCCCCTATCTATAATTGAGTACTGCAGGATATCATATTCATGGCTGGAATTCTTTATGTTTGAGTGCTGTAAATATGTCATCCCATTCTCTCCTATTTTTAGGTTTCTTAAAAAGTCTGATGTAAGCCTGTGTGAGTACTTTTGTAGGTTGCCTGCTTTATTTCCCTAGCCATCTTCAATATTCTTTATCTTGAACTTTTGGGTAATTTCACTAGTATGTATCTTTGTGTAGATCTCACTACATTTATGTTTCCAGATATTTCTTTCGCTTTGTGGTCTTATATTCAGATCCTTCCCCTGATTTGGGAGTTTTTTCTTTATTACTTATTTGAATATGTTCATATTTCCAGTTACCCCTCTATTTTTCTCTCCTGGGATATTTGTTACCCTCAGGTTACCATTCCTATATGAGTTGGATTGCTGTTGAAGTGTTTCTTCATTTCTTTGTTATATTTCTTTTTTCTTATGTCTGGGTCATTTTTTTGCATCATTATCTTTGAAAACACTGGTTGAATCCCCCATCTTTTCTATTCTGCTTCCATAGCTTTCTCTATAATTTTTTTTTTTATCTCATCTACTAAGCTTTTTACATCTTGAGTCACTGGGTTTTCTTCTCTAAAGCTTCAGTTTCTGTTTTCTAGTCTCTAATTTTCTTTCTGTATAACTTTGATGAGCTTTTTCCTCTTTTTCTTGTATCACTTTGAATTACTTTTCTTTTGACTGTTCATTATGGAAATTTTGAACTCTATCAATTAGGAAAATTTTTTTATGCAATTGTGGTTCTATTATGATGAGTTGATCACATCTTGTGATGTCATATTCACTGGCGGTCTCAAGGTGCCCTAAGTTGTATTTTTTTTTTCCTGCCATTTGGCAGCTTTAGATATTCCTGTTGTTGTTTTTAACCCTCTGTTGTAGTAACTTAAAGGTTGGGACTACTTTTACTTTTCCAGCAGGTGGCACTCTGCTTTTTTTTTTTTTTTTTTTTTTTTTAAAGTTTATTTTTACATCATTTTGCACATTTTTTTTCATCTCAATTGTAATCCCCACGGGTTTCCCATCACCAAATCACCCCTGTGCCACCACCATAGTCCCGTGCATTTCCCTCCCCCCCCCCGTTTTTGGTCCCATTCCCCACTCCACCCCCACAGAATGTCTCTGGTCTATGGTTGTTCATTATTTTTGTTATTTTTTCGCCTGGTCCATTATACTCCTGCTATGAGTGGCACTCTGCTTTTATGTGATTTTATTGTTTGGGTTTTTAACAGCTTCTGTAGAACCAGAGGCCTGATCTTGCTTCTTTTGAGTTGGGGTCAGGGAGGGACACAGAAGTGTTCAGCCACATGTGTCAGTGTGTTAGTGGGATGGTTGACTCGTGTTTGCACATCACTGATATTCCTGCTCTCTAGGATTTCAGAACCAAGACCACAGTGTCTACACTGTCAGTATTTTTCACAAGGTCAGTAGCATTTCTGAGGTTTAAGTTAAGAGGAGTTTAGTTTAGTACATTGTCTTTCTCACTGGGGACCCAGCCTTCAAAAGCATCTCTGCTCATCTGCACACTCAACACACTCACAGGTATGTGCCTACATACCATTTAGGTCTGCCCTCCTGAAGAACCCTGGCTGAACAACCATACCACAACCTGTATAGCAGCCTCCCATCCTATATTATAGATACCAGGCATTCTCTCTACTACCCACCACTTGTCTATGAAGTATGACTGGCCTCCCTTTTTCTTCTGGTGCAATTTGTGCTGGTCTTTAATGTCCAAGACATTTTCCAGTTTTTTTTTTTTCCCAAGCCACTGGACTTTCTGGTTGTCATGTCTCTCAGGTTGCATCCTCTGAACAAAGAATGTCCTCTCACACCATTTTGGTCTGAGCCATTCCCAGAAACTAGACATTTGATGATGATCATGGTGTTCTGTATACAGATGTGAAATTATAATTCTGTACACCTGAAACTTATATGATGTTATAAACCATGTTACATCAATAAAAACTTGTTTTAAAAGTTTATGTTAATGAAACCAAGAATATATAATGGGGAAAAATCAGTTTCTTAAATAAATGGAGCTGGAGAAATCAGACAGCCATTTCAAAAGGAATAAAAGTTGTCCATTGTCTTACACTAAGCACAAAAATTAACTGAAGTGGATGAAAGACTTGTATATAAGAACTGAATCCATAGGACCCTATTGTTGCTATCCCACCGAGGGGCACGCTGACCGTTACATTCACCTAAACATAGGAGACTCAGAACCTCAAGAAGGTGAAACAGGAATCTGAAGTCTGGAGTCTGGAATCTGTTTATTAGGATGACCCATGAGTATATATAGGGTCTTACATGCCTTGTGCGTGGAGAAAAACAGGAAGTGTACCCGATGCGGGGGTGGGGTACATGATTGTACCGGGCTTGCTGGTTCTTGCAGTTTCTGCTAAAAACAAGGTAGTGGGCTGCAGCTGTTTGCAGGACAGAGTGCACTGTGCTCTGCTGGCTTGTTTGTTGGCCTTACTGGGGAGTGTGCTCACCCATACACTACATCAGCCAGGGCGGACAGATACACTTGAGGTCCTGTCGAGTTAGCCACAGGACCCCTTGAAGAAATTATAGCCAGCAAATGTTTCATATCAGTCCTGGGAATAAATTCTTTGAATGTGACAAAAAAGCAAAGGCAAAAACAAATGAGTGGAACTACATAAATGTAAAAAACTTTTGCACAGCAAAAATACTATCAACAAAATGAAAACACAGCCTACTGAATGGGAGAAAATATTTGAAATTATATAAACAATAAGAGGTTAATATTGAAGATATATAAAGAACTCACATAGCTCAATAGCAAAAAAAAAAAAAAAAAAGACATGTATAAGTATCCAGGATATGGCAATTGAAGATATTCAAAACATGGAGAGTGTGGTCACTGGTGGGAAAGGCAGAAATCTCATTTGTCACTTTCCAGTTGTTTGACCTTGAGCAATAACCTATACCTTTCTAAGCTTTGATATCCTCATTTCTAAAATGAACCTAATAATGTGTTTCAGACTACAAATAATTGTTGTAAGGATTGAAGTACAATAGGATATTATCAAGATTAACACTCACAGTGCAAATAAGCTCCCCTTTCTTTATGCCACAACAATGTATACTACGACTGGTGTCTTTTCAGTATCTGTGATAGGTTATCTTCTGAAAGCTACCTTTGGAAAGAACATAGTTGAAAAGCTACACTCAGTGATGGTGCAGATTTGAGGCAGAGACAAGTGTGTTTAGTCTGAATCAGGGGTATGTGTATGGCACAAAATCTCAGAAAGGGAGATTTAATTATTGAAGTTTCAAATTTTGGAATTGGAACTCAAGACTGATCATTATCTTCTCCTCTCTCCCCTCCTCTTTTTCTCTGTTCTTCTCGTGTCGTTTCAGGTGCACGATGACTGTCGCAGACGGTTTTCCAAGGAATGCTGGTTTGGGAGTCATCGGTCATCAGTCATTCCTCCCACTGCCCTCAGCGACCCCAAAGGGGATGGTGAGTAGTAAATTTTAACCTTAAAGAATATTGGGAAAGTATATAAGGTATAGCAACTAGGTGAAATGATTGTAATTAAATTTTTCTCAGCTATTCAAATATTTGGAGGGGTGGAGTATGAATATTTATGTTTGTAGTGACAGCTTATGTTTCTTTACAGACCTTCCAGATGTTGAATGTCGATGTCTATGGTGTTTATGTATGTGGGCATTTTCTCTGTAGCTTCTGTTAAAACTGTTTCTATAATCAGAGTTCATTTCAGCTTTTTCATTACTTCTAGACACTAGTTAATCCATGAAGTAAGTTTGTTTGCATCTAGGTGGTTAAGGAACTGTATGAAGAAACATCTCTTATTACTTTTAAAATGAAAAATAACATTGAGGTTTTCTTAAAATTTGAAATTAACATGGTTATTGCTCCAGTACACTATATTGATCCTGGACATTAGCTATTTATTGAGAAATCTATTCACAGGATGTATGCAGACCACATAGAGATCCAAGATATGGATGTTTACAGAGCTTACGTTTACTGTAGACCCAAAATACTGATATATGACAATAGACAACTCAAGACAGTATATTCTTAGGATCAAAGGAGTGATAGAGACAGATATCAGAAACCATCAGACATGGCAACTAATTTTAGATGATTCCATCAAAAGGAAGTAGTAATGATATCAATGGAGTAAGAGTAAATTTTTGTAGACTAAATTTTTCTATTAGGCAGTCTAGAGATGTTAGCAGAGAAAGCAGGGGCAGAGGAGGGGAATATTTTGTTTAGTTTTGTAGGGTTTTCTTTTAAGACTCCATGGTACATGGAGGCAGCATGGTGTAAGGGAAAATACAAGGGCCAGGGAAGCATGCGTTTTAATCACATCTAGCTAGGAGAACTTGGGACTACAAATAATTGTTGAGCTTCACTTCTCCCACAATTGAGACTATTGTGAGGATAAGTGAACCTATGTAAAGGGACCATATATCCTGAAACATCACCCCAAGGTCCACAAAATTAAATCCCTAGTCTTTAAGCCTAATGAAAATTGTATGCCACCACAGACATAATTTATTCTTTTTAAGAATTGTTTTATTTTTAATTGAAACATTTGTATTAAAATACTGTATATGATTTAGGGGTATAGGCTTACACCTCTTTCAGTGTATGTTACCATAACACCCCCCCCCCACCGAAGCATTAATAATCTGCCATAGCCCATTGGGCCTCCTCTCCTATATGCTCCCTATACCTTTCCCCACACACCCCTTTTGGTAAATATCAATTCTGCAGTTGAATTTCTAGGATTTGTTTGGGTTTAGTTTTATTTCTTTATATTCGATATATGATTGAAATCAAGGAATGAATCACTCCTAGGTGCTTGATAGTGATACCTTTTTTTGAGTTCACTTCTGCTTCCCCATCTACTTATGAGACACTCCTTTCTGCCATTGAGTTGTTCATTTGCTTCTTTATTTTATTAAAGAAATAAAGAAAGGGGGCTATCAAGAACAAAATCACATGTCACCTGAAAAGACCTACTTAAATAGCACTAAGAAATTAAGAAATCTAACATTTACCAACTAATATGCTACCATTTCTCTGTTCATTAAAGAGACCTACGGCCCATTAATTTCAGTCTGTGAATGGCTAGCCATACTCGATATATAGTCAGTTTCACTTACTGGAGGAAAGTTCAAACCCTTCCCAGAATGCCATTACCTATATTTTGCTAATATGCTAATTTATTCATCACTGATATGTAGGATATCTACTAGTCCAGAAGTTATTAGTAAGGTAACATATCATTGACTTAAAGATAATCCCCATATTGATGCTAGCTGCCTATTTAACTGTCAAGGAAGAGCTAGCATTAGCTAGGAGCAAAGAAAGGGAAAAATAGTTTCCTTGAGAACAAAAGGCAACAAGGATTCCTGTACCCATTAAAACACAAATTTAGAATTGGGCTTAGCACATTATGTTCAAGGATGCACATATATACACACAGTCCAAACTAATCTTGTGCCTTTAAGTTCATTTTCTAACCCTAAGACAGATACAGATAGACATTGGTGCATGAAATAAGCCATTCACCCAAGTCTTATGGGAAAAAATGTACTCATATGTCCTCAAAAGGACATGCACAGACATAAAAGGAATACCTGCACATTCCTTTTACCCACTTAGTAATACCTGTATATATTATTCTCAGGTCTATTCAATATTTGTCTACATAGAGTCATCTACTGGTAGTTGACTAGAAAAGTTATGACACTGATGAACTGGTAAATAAGAGACATTTGACTGACTAGGAGAAAGAAGAGACTGGGGAAGGTGGGGTTCATAGAAGAGGAAGATGGCAGACAAGTCAGCTAAGTCAACAAAGTCTTCACTGTGAGACTTTTCTTACCCCACAACAACTTGGAGAAGATATATTTGAGCAGACTTGAGGGATGCCAACTTCAGTATCCCACAGATCACCCTGAATAGGTGTTCAGGGGTTGCCACATCTCCTCTGTAGCTGTCCCAACTTGTTCTGTGCTTCCTGTCCTTTGGAAGTTATTTTTTTCCTTTTTTCATATTCTTTGTTGTTTTTTGTCCTTGTTATAGATCACCAACTAATGGCATTTCTATTTTCTTTTGCTTTCTACCAATGATATAATGTTGTTGCTTGTAAGAACCTGGGCTAATTCACTCCTTTTGTGCAACTGATGAATGCTCAATCAGTTAGCATTTGTTCTTTCCTCCCAGTTATCTGAAGTCTTGATCCAATTGAATCTCTCACTTAAGACTTTTCTATCATGTATTCCTTGGCCTATGAGTTCTTAGAAATGTCTTTTCAGACCTCCTTATCTTGACTCTTCTTGGCTTCTTGGCCTAAGCAAATATGGTTTTTAAAGGATAGGTTTTCTGTCCAGAAATTTCACCCAATATTATAGATAACAAGATTTTTAATGATCATTTGGTCAACTCCAAACCTGGCAAGGCTGGGGAATCCCTCCTTTATCATCTGGGGTGGGGTGGGGGAAGCATCCAGCTGAAAACTTTCTGAGGAGACACTTGCCATGGTTAAGTAGCACTCACCAGCTCACTCATTCATTTATTCGGTCAACACCCTAATATCTGAGAATGACTTCTAATTGTCCCTTTCACACATAGTCATCATGGTAAATTCCTTCTCTCATCTTATAGGATGAGGAAAAAATCAAACACCATCTTCATTTGAAGGCTTCTATAATTTCCCCTCTAGACAAATCAATCCTTTCCCTGGCTATAAACCCAGGATACATTTCAGAACACCTAGCATACCATATTAAATAGCTCATCACATCTCTATAGCCTACTGTCAAGTTTTTGTATTCCACTTAGATGTGAGTCCATGCTTACCATCAGGATTTCTTGCATGAATCCATAATTACATTTACTGAATTAAAAAATCTAATGGATGAATGATTTAGAGAACAAGAGATGATTAAGACAGCGTTCTTGATAGCAGTGTAGTGCTATGGTTGTCAAATGTCAGAATGCATCAATAAAAAACATAGATTTCTGTACCCTACAGCCTCCTAAGAGCTTTTGATTTAATAGATCCAGGTAGGGTACAACAATTTACATTTCTTTTTTTTAAAGATTTATTTATTTATGCATATAGAATAGGGGCACAGGCCAGAGTTGTGAGGGGTGAGAGGATTCACCAGAGACAGAGTAGGGGGCAGAACAGGTAAAACTGCTGAGAGGAACAGCAGGTGGGTTGGGAGAGGCCTGCCACATCATGTGAGTCACCTCCCTGGCCTGGGATTGAACACATGCTGCAGTGACTGAGGTAGCTTCATAGTGCTGCACTTTAACCCATTGTGCCACCAGGGAGGGCCCCAACAATTTGCATTTCTAAGAAGTCCTCAGATAGTGGTGATACTTCTAGTCATAGATACACATTCCACCGTTAACCAACTGTGTGATCTTGAAGATCACTTAACTTCTCTGTGCCATTTGGTTTCTGCTGCCAGTAAGGAATAGTAGTTGTACCTAGGTGCATTATTCACTTTAAGTAAGTTAACACTTGTGAAATAGAGTTTTAAATTACAGAAATGGAAACAGTAAGCTACCTTTATGCCAATTTAGCATCCTTCTGTAGTAGGAACTGAACAAATTTGAGAAGGTCTGTTGGCTTCCTTGTTTGGGTAACTGTGGTTATACTAATGTAGCTTTACAGAACAAAGAAGCATGAGTTTTGTTGTTTTGTTTTGTTTTGCTTTTAAATAGACTCTTTTGGACTGTTGACTCATCTGGAGCTTAAACTCAGCTAAGTCCCCTAAGCCCTTTTCACACTTGATGCTGCCAAGCCAAGTTCCTATTGTCCTGCTCTGGTGTAATTTATGTCCTTGAGCCTAAGCCCCAAGTCTCACATTTATCCCATTTTCATCTTGTTGACTTTGACTCATCTAGCCATGGAAGTCATTTTCCAATCTTGATCTGTCATCCGGTAGCTCTCTTCAGCATTGGGTACCTCAAGGTTAACAAGATAGGCTTCTGTGTTTTTATCTGAATTGTTAAGATTGTTGAATAGTTCAACACCCCCTTATGATTAATACAGATTATTCAAAAGAAACTTGTGAGAATGACTATTTACCTGGTTGTGAATCTGCCTCATGTTGCTACATTCCAACCCACAAAACCACCCAGTGTTGTCACCTTGTTCACAAGATTCTCTTGATAAACTTGGTCTTGCTCAAGTTTAGATGTTCTCAGCTGCTGGGGAGAATGCTAGAGAGAGCTGTCTTTTTATTTTCCTCGAAATGATTTCCTGCTGCTTCCCCTTGTCTTCCCACTTGTAACCAAATTAGGTTTGACACTGCAACTTTCCATCTCCACCGTATATTATTAATCACTGCACCCTGTTACTGTGCATCTTGGTAAATGAACACTCAAAGCAGTTAAGATGTTTGCTCCAGGTCAGTGAATAAACCTAGGAGGCAACCGAATTGTGACTCCTAATTACATTCTCCTACAGCAGAAGGTAGCCCGGGTTGCATCCAAGATGCCAAATAGATCTAGGAATTATTTCATTTATACCCTCATGACTATCTAACTGATAAATAACATTGACATGGGAGGGGATGAATTGCACTATCCTTTCTCTGTCCTCAATCTCTTATAGCCCTACTATAGCCTCACTCACCACTAGTTGACTACTTCCATTAGTTCATTGAATACTCTCCAGCATTTCTTCATATAGACACTATTGTAGCTATTCTTAATCCTCACCTTTAACATTACACCTGTTGTTCTGCACCCTGTTTTTTTTTTTGTCCTACTTATATATTTCTTCCTCACTCTTTTTTACAATTACAAAACATCCCATTATATGGATATACCATGATTTATTTAACCCAGTAGCCTATTGATGTATAATTGGTAGTTTTCAGACTTTTGCTATTACAAGCAATTCTACAATCAGTAGCTTCATACATATCGTTTCACATATACATCTATAGAAAAAAATCATCAAAGTGTAATTACTGGGTCAAATGTGTATGCCTTTGTAATTTTTAGAGACATATATTCCCCTCTTCAGGGCTTGTGTGCCACCTTGCACTTCCATCCTTAGCTTATGAGGATGTGTATTTCCCTATGGTCTCTTCTATCAGGGGTGTTTTCTCACTTTTCTGAGGGTCTTAGTTTTTGTCAATCTCTGGACAAGAAAAAGTGGTACCATGACTTTGTCTTAAAAAGTATATTTCTTCCTATGAGTTTTCTCATCTTTTCACCTTTAAGAACCAAGTTATATTCTCCCCTCTCATTAGTATAACATCTAATTTCATTTCCTCTAAATACTGGAGGAAAGTTAGTATTTTGATATCCCACTTTGCAGAGAAGGAAACTGAAGCCCAAATAGGTCACTCCCAGTAGTTGGCTTCACTGCCACTGCTGCCTCAACTTTAGAAGGGGACTAATTGAAAGGACTTTTGATACAATTAAAAAAAAAAAAGCACAGTAAAACATTGGGGCATAGATAGGCCTATTCCAGGACCTCTGAGATAGAGAACTTACTTCTGAACAGCTCTCACAAATCCATTAGATCTAGGAAGCTTATCCATGAATGCTTTCCTTGCAGTCCATACCCAAGGTCACATGTTCACCTAACAGTGGTTGACTGGAGATTGAGTCAGGAAGCACAGCAGAATCAGCTTCTAAAATGAAAGAGGCAAAAGTGGACTTAGGTCACCAACTGGGGCCTACATTGTTGGCTAGTAGAGAAGCAAGTGCATAAAAAGATATCATCTTTTGACTATTTTCTTCAAATATCTTATTACCTGATTTCTAATGTTTTAATTCCATACTGAACAGTCTCACTCTTCCTTTTGAATTCTTTCCACAAATATCTTCTTATCATTTTATCTGGGCCCTCATCCTCTGTCTCCCTCCTCATCCTCTGCATCTCTCCTCCTTCCACCCCCCCCTCCATCCCCCGTATGTGTCCTGCTCTCCCCCTGCTCACTCTACAACCACCATACTGTTCTCTTCATGGGTCCTCACACATCCCAGTGTCCCTTCCCTGGCCCTGGCACTTACTCTTCCTGTCCAACAAAACTCCTCTCCCAGATCACCGTAGTGCTCACTTCCTCACTTTGTTCAAGTCTTATCTAGAATATCAGCCTCAGAACAGCTGTCCCCAACACTCTACCTAACCGAATGCTCCTTCAGTCTCTGGCCCGTTTCCTTGCTTTATTTTTCTTCCTATCACTTTTTTTTCTATTTATTTGTCTTCCTCCATTAGAATTAAGTTCCACAAGAGCTGAGGCTGTTTCTATCTTGTCATCCACTGCATTTTCAGAATGTAACAGGGACACACAGAGAAAATGCCAACAATACATATTTGTTGAATGAATGAATGAATGAATGAATGTGTTTTAATTACCACTGAGACAACATATTACCTTTTGTAAAAAAAAAAAATGTTGAAAAGGGTGCTACTTTTGGATAATGTGTTCAGGTAGAGTGACTACTTCCAAGCTATGCTACTGAAGGGTCACAGCAGACAGCTGTGAGTCCTGGCAAGCCCAGAAAATGTGGTATATGAGTAGCTTGTTTAGGAAGTCTTCAAGCTCTAATGGCCAGGGAGTAGGAATTAGTTCTTAGAGGAATCATGCTTTAGATTTTTCCAGAAAAAGTTGAAATCTGCTCCCTTTCACCAGGTTACAACTTCCCTATAGTCTTTTGCCCTGTGACAACTTGGATTGCTCTTCCATTTGTGTCACCCCACGCCCCCTGACACAAACCATTCAGGAGTGAGCCACATGCCATTTTCCCTTGGCATTTATTTTTGCTGGGGCATCCCTGCCAAGCCACAAACTCAGATTTGGCAGCTCACGATTTGTCTAGCATCTCCTAGAGACCCATTGCTCACTGCCTGTATCCTGCCAAGACTCTAAGACTCAGCACAAGCTGGCAGGCTTTGGCAGTTTAGACTGCTAACAACCACTTCTCTAAGGAGAATTTCAGTGTTAGGGATTATTAAAATCCTCTCTCCTGTTCAGACAACTTCCCTATAGTCTTTTGCCCTGTGACAACTTGGATTGCTCTTCCAGAGCCTTAGAGGAGTGATTAAGGCTCCCTGTTTCACTCTACACTGATATGTTCTGTCATTAGCTCCTGGCAAGAAGATAGCCTCTCTTTCCCCCTCTCCTGATTTGTATCTTCTCACTGTTAGAACTGAGTTATCCCAGGCAGAGAGAGGACTAGTTGCTGTTCTGATCCTCCTGCTGGGCATTCAACCCTTTCCTTCCTCAGTCTCCCCATACTGTTTTATTAATTTTGGCCTGTAGCACCAATTTTCATATTCCTCATGTTCCAATATACTAGTGTGTATATATGTCTGTTTTCCTGGCTTACACACAGAGATTATACCCTAACAGTGTCTATCATGATAATTGGGATATTGTAATTGATCAACAGATGCTATTTGACTGGCAACAACTCAGTCAACTTTTAATAAAAGCCTTTTGGGTGGTGTTTTGACTTCCTCTCTGTTCTTTGGTCTTAGGAAACTGGACCACAAGGAATCTTTGGCCAGTGTTAGATATATCCATTACCTCAATTGTGGTGTTTGCATATGTCTACATTCATTAAATTGTGCATATTAAATATGTAAAGTCCTTTGTCTATTGATTTTAATCTCAAAAAAAACTGTTTTTAAAAGTTTTTGCAAAACTTGATGTTAAGTTTATCTTGTTTCCAACTCAACGGCCCTGTTCTTTTTTTCTTTCTCTTGTGTATATGTTTCAGGCCAATTAGTCGTATCTTCTGACTTCTGGAGTCTTGATTGGTCATCAGCCTGTTCATGTCCCCTTCTCATCTTCATCAACTCAAAAAGTGGCGATCATCAAGGGATCGTCTTCCTCAGAAAATTTAAGCAGTACCTTAACCCATCTCAAGTGTTTGACCTGTCGAAGGGTGGACCTGAAGCAGGGTAAGCATGGGATGAGGGTGGTCGCTGGCATAGAGAAGGGACTGTTCCCTCTATACATTCTAGACTAGGTTGGGCTTCTTGGAATCAATACTAATATCTGGGCAGGAGAGATCTATTTCCTCAAGCATAACTCCAAAGAATTTTGGATTAGCTGATTCATGGGCTTTTGACCTTCTCCCAGGAATTCTTTCAAGCTCATGTCTTGCTTTGATTTACCCCACCTTCTCTGGTTGTGGAGGTAAAACAACATCCCCTGATCTCAGAGGAAGAGGCATATGGATATCACTGTCTGCCTTTCCTGACATTCACTTTTTCTTTTTGCCAGGAGTCAAATAAATACCTTTTTGACATATCTGTATTATTTGGGAACCATCTGGTATTTCACCTCTGATTTCTGCACACCCACTGATCACCACACAGGGCATTCTTCCAGGGCCTCAGAAAGTTGGTTTGGCCAAGATACGATAGCTTCTAGAGTGAGGTTGGGCACAGAGGTGATGGTAGCTTGAGGCAAGACTTGATTTCCAGAATTACCTGTGGGAGCATGGCTGCAGAGAGATGGGGGATAGGGAAAAAAGGCTGGTAGCCTGTTAGGGGGGTGGAGTAGTCACAGTTCTTGGGTCCTGGAAAAGGTTGCAAAACCCAGAAGTTCATGAAATGACTTCCTTTTCCCTTCTTTTCATTATAGGCTGTGCATGTTCAAGAACTTTGCTCGCTTTCGCATCGTGGTTTGTGGTGGAGATGGCAGCGTGAGCTGGGTCTTATCTCTGATAGATGCCTTTGGATTACATGAAAGGGTGAGTCTCCACCTGATGCGGTTTAGGCATTGTTAGAGAGACCAGTATGGATTTGCTCATCCTAAGAGATCCTGGTCCTCACTCTCCTTGTCTGTAGCTTACCTTCCCTTCTGGCTTCATAGTCAACCTGACTGTTAGATTGTCAGTCTGTGTCCACTCACCTGGACCATTTTCTGGTTCTCTATTTGTGGAAAGGAGAAATGACAAAGTTAGTAGAAAGAATGTGCGATGCCCATGCCCCAAAGTGAATACTTGAAGGGGAAGAGAGCAAGTTAACAAAAAAAGTCGTCTCAGGCAGTAATCAGTCCCCAATTTCTTTTACCTTCTAAGGCTACTGATTAGCTATTCTGAGTCTCAAAAGTAGCGGAAACTTGCCTCTACCTTTTCCCATCATCCCAGCCAATCTTAACACTAGTAGCTTTTTTCCTGAGGCATCTTGCTTCCTTGGCCCAGTTATATTTTTCCTTTATAAACATGGCTTATACTCCAGCACCTTTGCCCTTCACTGAGTAGGTTCTATATTTCCAAGAGTGGGTTTCAACTCCTTAAAGAAAATTCCACTCAATTTACATCTTCCCATTTCACTCCCTACAGTCACTAGTCTCTTATTGTCAATGGCTTTGAGAAAACAGTCTTTTCAGAGAGCACCTTATGGATCCGTTTGTGGGTAGATCTTGGTGGGACTATCTGAAACAGGTGCTGTGTTTGTTTTTGCAGTGTCAGCTGGCGGTCATCCCACTTGGAACCGGCAATGATCTGGCCCGTGTCCTAGGCTGGGGTGCATTCTGGAACAAAAACAAGTCACCTCTGAACATCCTCAACAGAGTGGAGCAGGCTACTGTGAGGATCCTGGACAGGTGAGTGACTGAAGGATCAGGTCACTGTGCCTCTCCCAGTCCCACGCCTGTTATTCCTGCTCTATCAGTTCTATTAGGAGTGTTCTAAGTGCCTCCACAAACGCTATTCCCTTTCTTGCTTCAGTGCAGAGTAATTGTGGGGTAGGAGGCTTGTCTATTAGGAAACTGGAGTCTATCTCCCATGGTTCTGTCAATCATCACTAGAATCCCTCTTTGAATTTAAAAGCTCCTAGAGCAGGAGTCCTGTGAGTAAATTTCAAGGGCTCTGTGAATCTCCTTGAAATTGTATAACTAATGATCTTTCTAAGCATATTTTTAAAAATAATAGTTTATTTTTACAACATTTTGTGCATTTTTAAAATCTCAGTTGTAATCCCCGTGGGTTTCCCATCACCAAATCACCCATGTGCCATCACCATAATCCAGTGCATTTCCTTTCCCCATTGTTTTTTGTTTTATACTATATTTATTATTGTTTTTTATATAATAGTTTAATTTACATCATTTTGTGTATTTTCCCATCTCAGTTGCAGTCCCCTTGGGCTTCCCCTCACCAAATCACCCATGTGATTTGAATATGTGTAACATAGTCCAGTGCATTTCCCTCACCCCACTGTTTTTGATCCCATCCCCCATTCCAACCCCATAAAATGTCTCTGATCTATAGCTGTTCATTATTATTATTTTCTCGCCTGGTCCATTAT